ACAAAAACGAATTCTTAGAAAAATCTTATCTGATACGACATTCTAAAATCCTAATTACCATCGTGCAAAGAGGACTGTTTAGGTACATTCATTTTCGAATATAAGTTTAGCATAAAATGCTTGACATAGGAGCCTTAACTGCAGTTTAATTGGACGCCATGATAGTTATTCCCATCCTAGTTAATTTTTTTATATTGTCACAGCTGTCATTTTTGAGTAATTGCTTAGGACAAACCCAGAAGCACTGTTCTGTATTTTTTAATGTTTGTCACTTAACATGTCACAAGAGATCTCATACGGAACAAGCATATTCAATCATACGGTGAATGTATGCTAGGTACACCGTTGATTGTAAACATGCCGGCACCTGTCTCAGGCTTTCCTGTATAAAGATAATGATCTGGCGACCTTCGCCACCACTGAATAAACAAGAGCATTCCATGAGTGGCCCTTCATGGCTTTTCATTCGTTCTCCAGTTACCTACGGCTGCCCAGAAAAACTTGCTCTTCTTTTCACACCACAACGCTCAGGTTTTCAAGAGGGTTTTTCAGTTCCTTCAGGGCAGTGGACAGCTACCTTATTTACTCGCGTAATCCTCGCACCGCTCACATCGCCCAACAAAAATACGGTTTCTTTTTTTTTTCCCTTGAGTAATTATCGCACCCTCGAAAACTACCGTAATAATGTCGTCTGCTCATTTCAGCCACTGATGATGAGCGCGCGCCATCTTTTAAGCATCAAGCGTACTATTATAGCATGGAGACTCAATCCAATTTAAGCCAAGCCAAAGTGGCAAATGAGCCTTGCAGCGTGTTTTGTATGTTGTGTCGGTAATCTTGTCACGGCATGGGGCGATACTGAAGCTACACGGCTGCTTTCAAATTGAAAGTGATAGATCATGCACTAAACAATAGCAACAGGGTCGTCGGTAGGCCCTTCGGAGTCTACGAATTTTGTGTTCGCTACTAGTGACGGCAGCTGAAAGCCACTAAGACGCTTTGGGCTTGCCGTGTGCCTAAAACGGATTGATGGTAAACTTCATTTCTTCAGAAGGAAACTACAGACGATTCTGTTAAATAGCCATCAGCCCAGTACTGACGTCCTATCCTTGCCTTTTGAGGAATCCTGTTGGAGTGAGGAATGCTACCGCTACGCCCGCAACGCCCACAAGCTTTGCGTACGGTATTCTCATTCTTGACTATTTGCTTGCACTTTTTGTGTCTCACATAAGTCTTGCCTTGTGTTGAACTTGTGCTTTTATTGTTGAGATAAGTTTTAATAAGTACTTTTCAAAGCTTGCTGTTAGTTGCTGGTGTAAGAATCCTGATTTGCAGCTACCTCGTTTTCTTTTTCGCTCTGCATGTTTTTGTGCAAAGTTTTCCCCGCGTAATTCTCGCACCCCCCAACTTTGCATCGGTTTTCCACCAAAATGTGCGAGGATTATGCGAGTAAATACGGTATTTGTAGAAGGTGGTCGCCATGTCCTCGGCCATAGGCGTCACTTTTATTTTCTTTCCCCATCTTTAATTCTCTCTCCTTCCCTTGCAGACGCTGAGACATTCTTCAACTTAATGCTGCAGAAATTGCGTCTGCACTCTTCATGCTCCTCCTCCAATCACTCGCAGCCTGTCTGTCAGCTTTGTCTTCGTTGAGCCTTATAGTGTTTGGAAATATCAATGCTGCCTTTTTTACAACACGCTCGAAAACAAAATTTGAGCTTGAATAGCGCTCATATACGCTCTCATTGGGAAAATAGGCGTTTATAGACACTTATAGGCTTTTAGGCACAAACACCCAAAATACACAGTTATAGACACTATAAAAACACCATGACAGCCCTTCTTAACCTTTAATTGATGCTCATATATCAAAATGGCATGATAGAAACACAAGGAACAAAATAGGCATTTGCCTATAATCTGGTCTCTAGTGATCACGCTGAAAAAAGAGCTGCATATTTGAAAAAAAAAAAAATGCTTAAGGTCACGAGGCACGCGTGAAATAATTGCTCTCCTCATGCCATGTCTGCGTAGCTTCCCGTGCTTTCGTTGGGACGAGAGAAGAGAGAATGAAATTGCAGCGAGCAAAAAATCTTTGTAACTCCGCTCGTACGAGACAGATTCGAAAATCTTTAGTGGTGCTTAATTCATGGTGCGATAAGCTCCTTCAGTGAATCTATTCCATGGCTACGTAGAAAAGTGTTGCAGAGCCCTTTTAAATTCCAGTCGCACCCACTTACAACGATACCAGTTGTAACAATACACAAGCTATAATTAGAAGATGCTGTACCATCAACTTCCGTGTGATGTCTATGGTGAAATGACCCACTTGCAGCAATGTCCGCATGCCACATTATCGGTAATACAAATGAGTTAGGGCAGTTGCGTGTCCATGCCAAAAAAAAACCCCAAAAAGAAAAAATAAAACACAAAATTCAAGCTACTGAACACCCACCCATCACCTAAACATTCCCCAGCGCACCTTCGAATTTGCGATAGGCTTCATTGCAGAGCATTGTGGCAGTGGTGGCTTCTCTTCATGCACTTTCGAAGAAAGGTCCTTCCACGTTAAACGTGCCAGCTATTTTGGCGATCATCTCAATTATATCATATTTACTCGCGTAACGAATGCACTTGCATAATAAATGCACCCCAAACTTCAGTCATCAAAATTAAAATTTTTTTCCTCCTGTGTAATAAATGCACCCCCAACATTTATTCGCTGCAGTCCCGCTAACCAACACCTGGTGCCTCACCCACTGGATCTCTTCCGCTTTTGATTACTTTGCCAACTCTCCTCCTCCACCCAGCTCGCTCCATCCCCCCCTTCGCCCATTGCAGCATGTCGTATTGCTTTTCTTTTCATCTGTAATAAACGCATCCCCTACATTTATCCGCTGCAGTCCCCCCAACCGACACTTGGCACCTCCTCACCCGTTGGCTTTCTTTCATTTTTTATTATTTTTCCAGCCCCCTTCAACCACCTCAGCTAGCCACCTCAACTAGAAAAATATTTTTTTCTGCAAAAATATACCTTCTGTAAAATAAGTATTTATTGCTGAAATATTCATACAGAGTACAGTATCGCAACAGAAAAAAAACATTTAGGCCGAATTCTTAGGGGCTCGTGTGGCAGAAAGATCGCGATAATTTTACTCCGCTTCAACCACCTTACACAAGCAGCTTTTCTTAATATGTAGACCAAATTTGGTATATAAAGAAGAAGTGGTACTTGTAAAATAATTTTTTGCATAAACAATGGCCAGACAACATTGTGCAAAGTTTAGAAAGCACCTGTGTGACCAATTTTTTTTTCTCAGTGAAATACTCTAGCAATCAACTGTTTTGAATGCAGTAAAGCCGTACGATTTTTTTCGAATACATTTGAGATTGTCACCAAAATAATTGGGACATTGGGCATGGAATGACCCACAAACAATTTGAGTAAACAGTTGAGACTCATCGCCCAAAACTCCAGATGTCATAGATAGGCTTTATAAAGGTTGGTACACACCGGTGACTAGCAGCGGTCGCGCAACTATTTGCGACTAGCGACCAAGAAGCGACTGATATTCACACCGGCAGAACCTGAATGCGAGCGACCGGAAGTCGCAAACCCGGAAAGTCACATCTGGATCTCGTTATCAGCGAGAACTCTGGAAACCAGCGCCGATCAGCTGATCGCCACTAGCCGAGTGAGTGAGCAAAGTGAACTGAGCGCGTCGCATTTATTGTATTCGTCCGTTCTCGCACAGCGTTCCCAGCAGCGTCAAAGAGTTCGATTCAAGCAAAGAACAAGAAATTGTCATGGTGCTGATGCGCTCTGCCATGGTGTCAGTCAGCGCTGGCAGCACAGAATTCTCCAAAGAAAAAGAAAAAGCAGGTGATGGGTGTGACCGTTCCTTCGCTCGCGAGAGTTGGCCGGCCATGCAAGCAGCCAACCTCCCAAGTTGAGCCGAGACGATGAGGAGTATTTCCGAGAGTCGTACGTATTCAAAAATGGTCCTTGAATTCAACTTGACTTGCCACAGCCTACAATGCAGCACAAATGCGTCTCGAACGCGGTGTCTTTAGTCGGTACCAAGGCATGAAGCACAAACGCGTTCCAAATGCGCTGCACTGAAGGCGGTGACAAGTCAAGTTCAAGACAAAAAAAAAAATGATTTTGAATATGGGGGAAAGACAGTGAACAATCCATTTTCTCTTTATTTTGACGGTGTTTAGCTTCTTGCGAATGCCACCACGTAAATTCGACACTTTGCCCGAGCTACCGCGCCCCGCCATCTCCATGCCAAGTACTCCGTGGTGCCACAGACCCAGAGTAATGCACTAGTCTGTATCTGGCAACAGGAGGCACGCAACGAAAAAAAAAAAGAAAAAGCTGGGCATTGCGGATTCATTCCAGCAGCTTTGAGACTGCAGTCCTGCGCCTAAAAAATCGGTCAGGAAGTGACTAGCCAAAGCAGTCCCTTTGCGACCGTTTGCAAATGTTTGCGACTGTTCGCGACCAGTCGCAAATGGTAGCGCGACCACTGCTAGTCGCCGGTGTGCACCAACCTTAACCTCTCAGCGCTTCAGCGAAAGGTTATGAATTTTCATTTATTTTTTCATGTTCAAAAAATCCACAGACATGTTATCCTTATCACTGATGTTTGTAGGTATATCTTATCCAATATTATAGTTTTCTCACAACAGCCTGCCATCCTTCAATTTTTTTTTCGTGCAACCTGTTTATGTATACCTTCATAGCAATTATCGGTTATAACAATGAAATTTTACTGGCACTTCACTGTTATAGGTTGGTTCAACAATAGGCCAATTCGTTCATTTTGAATACTTCGAATTTTCAAATAATGTTAATTTGTGCCGACGCCACTTCAAATAATGGAATATTTATGCCACTTTTCAAAGTGCTCGAATATTCGCACATGCCATAACAGATGACTGCAACCAGTCACACTTGTGTAATATGCTGAGCAAAGATAAAAGCACCCACATACCTTCAGTCATTTCACTGAAGTGCGATTTGGCCTCCGGATGCCGGAGAAGTGACTTTGGTGTGAAAAGGATGAGCTGCGAAGTTGTAAAAAAAAGAAAGAGAGAGAGAGAGAGACATAAGCAATCATTTCCAGTAACATGATCTATCAATTCATTCCTATGCAAATGTTGATATTTATTGTGCATCATTGTCAAAATAGTGTTGCAGTTGTAAACTGTGGTGGCTAAGGCAAGTGATGTTGTTGTGCATAACTTTATGACACATCATCAAACAGTCCTTGCATCATCAATAAAAAACAGCTCACAGACGAATCCCGGAAGCCTAAGGCATGAGAACAGGTAGCAGATTCATCTGTATGCGTATGTATATTCATTGGAAAAGCCACTGATTGCCACTACTCAGACTGTGCCAACCTGACACGTATCAACTGATCAATGAAAAAATGAACGCCACTTTAGTACCTTAGTCTTCGGGGCCAAGCACAATCTGGGTGCCGTTTTGTGCATGAATAAGCAATAATGCGAGAGTACAACGATGCATGTATCAAGGAGGACCACTCATGGGCACAGTAAAAAGTAACAGTGTTATAGTTAGCTATGCCGAGAATGTAACTCTGTTATAGTTACAGAGTTTTCAAAAGTAACTTGTCGGAGTTGCAGCTACCGTGAAAGAATAATGTAGACACTTTTCTGTTATTGTACAAAGCAAGACATGTATCACATGCCAAATGATCAAATTAGTTCAATAAAAACATACAAAGAGGTGTGGAAAGTACGTAATGAGTGAAGATGAAGTTCATTCATCATCGAAGTTCATTCTCTATGTTCCTTAAAGGTACACTCAAGAACGAAACAATTTTCAGCATACAGTCAAGCCCCGCTACAATGAAACTGACGGGGTATAGAAAAAAATTCGTTGAAGCAAAAATTTCATTGCAGCGAAGTCAAATAAAATATAGACAACCTGAGCTAGCAATACAATGGAACTTTTATTTACAAAATTTGAAAAGTGTTTGCTGCTTCCTTATTCTTTCCAGCAGCATCTAGACGAGATTCTCACACATGCATAACAACATGTTAAAAAGCACTCTGAAACAACAGCCACAACGGCTTACGTGAACCAACCTGACAGTTGCACTGACACCCAACACAAGCAGCTGTCCGCCGTCGTAAGGTATCTGATAACGCAGAGATGTAGGCGCGGTATGTAGAGCGGTGACTTATGCTTCATTCTATGCTATTCTAATCATGCACTAGTAGCGGCTAGCTCATCTTGTTGATAAGGCAGATGAAACTCACTCTGACCAGGGACCACACTGGCCAAGCGCGAAAATAACCAAAAGCCCTGCCATTAGAAAAGGCATTATTCCGCGACTGCACCCAGCAGCAGCGTGTAGGAAACTAAGCTTCGGCTTCGGAAAGTCGGCGGTCCAAAAGCAAGCCAGTGGCAAAAGTAGGGTAGTCTCATTGCCATCGGTATCGAGCAATAGCGGCCTCCATGCTTAGTAAGCGGCAGCGGTTTCTAGTGGAGCTAATGCGCGTTTTCGACTTCGTAAAAGTATTTTCATGCTCTGAAAATGAACCAAAATTTTCAAGAATGTATTTAGTACATGACATTAAATTTCTAAACCTGGAATTGCATCATCAAATTTCGTTGAAGTGGAATGGCAGACGAAAAGTGTTCCTTGTGGTGAGAATATTTATGCATTGATTCCTATGAACTGCTGAAAGGAGACCAAGAATTTTTCGGTGTCGCGAGGTTGGAGTGTATTAGTAAAGTACAATTTAACAATCCTGCAACACCACTCATACCACAAGATGACGCTTGGTAAGCGAGAAAACACGCATAAAGAAAGTACAGGTAGAAACGCCACCTCCGGATTCCTGCGCCAAACATCGTGAGGTCGTAAATTTTCAAGGCTTCTACTGGGTCTTACATAGCTTTTAATCAATAAAATTGAAGTACATTGTCATCTGTGGGTGCCATAGATCTTGCCTACAAAGTTTGAGAAAATTTCATTGAGTCGATGCTGTGAAAATATGAAAAAATATTTTGAAATGTCTAACGTATGCGCGGAGATTTTAGCGTGAAATTATAAAATGAAATTTTGACCTTAATTTTATCTGCTAATAACTTACGATAGTGAAATTTAATAATAATATGTGGGGTTTAACATTTCAAAACCACCATATCATTGTAAGAGCTGAAGGCTTCAGAAATTCCGACAACCTGGGGTTCTTTAATGTGCACCCAAATCTGAGCCCACAGGCCTACAGCATTTTCACCTCCATCAAAAAATGATTGTGAAACTTATAGTATTACAGTTCTCAGAGGGCAATTTATCTAAACAAAGTCATTGTTCCTTTTTACTGGGTGCTCCAGACTTATTCAAAGAATTTTGCATCCGCTGAGCATACAAACAGTTGGGACACGTGTTCATGAAATCCAAAGACCACACATCGGTGCACGATTAGTGCAGAAGCACCTCCAAGATGCAGGGTTTGCGAAGCGACATAATTACATCAGCGAAACGGGCAGCGATGTATCAGGAAAAAGACCCCAAAAAGAAGGGTTGCTAATGTCAGTTACATGCAACGCATTCAAACTGCAAGGGTGCAACAGCCAAAATAAAATTTGGAGCAATTTTTGGAGCAGGTTATAGAAAATAAAACATCTATTTTTATCACAAAACACCAAATTTGGAGCAAAGAAATCTTACATATTAAGAAAAAAAGAAGTATGATCAATCGCTTCAACGTCATCTAAATCATGCAGAGTAAACATGAGCACCGCTGTTTCAATAAAACTCGTATTTTAATCTACCCCACTGAGCAAACAATGATAAAGCCCAGATGAGCACTTGTCACAAATCCTTCGAGATAATTCGTGAAATAAAATGTGGATCTGCCAAGCTGGCAACCTTGAAATTCAAGGGATTCGTGAAACTGCGGAGTAGGGGTTAAAAAATCAAACTTGCGCAGCTTTTTTTTTTTTCCAGGAGCAGCAGAAGTATCATACACTACTCCAAATAATTGCCGGTGACATTTTCATATGTCATAGATCATACTAATGCTCACAGTTTTGCGGTAGAATACACGCATGAGTGTTTGAACGAAATTTGCTGTCCTGTCAGTAGTGCTAACAGCCCTTTCCAAGACACAATATGCTTTTACACGGGGCACCAGTGCATTGAGGCGAAGGTGGTTTAAGCAGCGTTCTACACGAGTTAGAACAAGGCCAATAAGGTTTCGAACACCGCTGTGCCCACTCCTCCCCACTTTTTTTTTTACGAGGGGGGTTACGGTCAGGGCACAACATCTCGGCTCGCTTGCAAGGTGTGTTCTACCAGATAAAGTAATAGCGGGGCACGCCCATTGATCTGGTGACAGCATCGGATATCTATCGCTGAAACGACGTTCGTAACGCAACTTCAAGACCGAAGAATGTTTGATGTGCCGTTGCTATGTCGATCAGTCAGCAACGCCGCCGTTCTCAGCTCTAGTTGCTAACATTCCATGGTCGCTTTTGCGTACCAGGAAGTTGGTATTTGCCGCAAAGCGTTCGTGGCTACGACAACACATTTTTGTCTTGAAGTTGCGTCATCCCGCCGACAGGTATCTGTTGTGGTCAGCAGACCGATGAATGCACGGCTTTGTTTCTTTATTTGGTCAATCGCGTCTCGCGAGTCCCCTGATTGAACAGGATTAATATTAGAGTGGTTAGGTTACTGTGGTTACTGTGGTTTAAGGTAAGAGTCTATGCACTTGAATTGATTGATGACTTAAACTGCAGGTGGGCAACGTACGTGGCCTTCATTTCTCGCTGAAACTAGCGCAACTGAGAAAATTTTGAGGCTGGTTGGGCATTTTGGCGTAATTTCAGCAAATCTCATGGCTTTGGTGCAACTAAGTGCGAAAATGGGGCATTGTATGAAATTGGCACCATTGGCGCAGCTGTTGCACCCCTCAGGCACCCCTCAGCCACAAATTTTTTTTCAGGTGCGGGGTGTTCAACCATACTTTTTTTGTGCATGCATTTGTATGTGTGCATACATATATATATAAACACTGCTGGACAGGGCATAGCTTTGACCTAACAATGCGACAACACTGCCTCATGAAAGGAAGCGATAATGGAGGAGGGGGCGAGGGGACTTCTGGAAATGTTTGCCATGTCATGTGTGACTGATGGAGTGATCGATGTCCGCTCACTTTTTCTTTTTTTGTTGCCACTGTACATTGAGGATGCCACCTGCATAGGACGTGAAACGTTTGTCATTTTTTAAATAAGTGTTAGGTCAAAGCAGACCTATGAGAATCAGTTATCAAGAAGTTTTAAAAAATTGCTTTGCCCGTTTATAGCCTTTTGCCTTTCAGCTGATTCCCATTGCTGTTTCCTAGTCACCTGTTAAGCACAATTAGCTAGAGGCCTCGGACAAAGGAATGCACCTCCGGCACACTAAGAACACAGGTAGAACCTCAAGTGATAAAACACACATACGCCCCCTCCCCTCTTTCCAAAAAGAAAGGGAGGGGGATGGCGAGCTTAGGAAGCTGTTCACTTGCAATGTAGTATTTACTCGATTCTACCGCGCCCTCCATTGTAACGCGCACCCGATTTCCACCGCGAAAAAAAAAAAAAAAAACGTAAGACATCGATTGCAACGCGCACCCATTTTTTCGCTGGCCCGCACGATCACACCACTCGAAAAAACGACTCCTTTCGGGAGCGTCTTCCATTTAAATATGAGGTACGGGCGAAGCTTGTGCCCATCTGACGTGTAACAGAGCATTGTCGTCACTGTAGTTTTACCGTGGACCGATGTCAGCACGCGAACTTGCTTCGCCTCCTTCTTCTCGAAAATTGTGGTGCCAGGCATGTCGAAGTAAAGAGGCGTCTGATCGGCATTCCCGATTTGCCCAAGCAGGTAGCCGTTGTTGCGCCGCAAGTTTAGGACGAACCTCTGAAAACTGTGAAGCTTTTCATCGTACTCCTCCGCAAAAGTTTTCGCATATGCATGTTCCCCTTCGGAGGGAAAAGCCTTTCCTCTTCATAAAGTTAGTTAGCCAGCACCTGCTCGCTTTAAACTGGCTCCGCATTAGACCTTTTTCTAAGACTAATTGCATAGCCCGCACTTGGAGCAATTCTGTCGTCACGGGCCGCTGTGCCGCTCGCTGCTCAAGCACATACTCGCCGAGCAGCTCATTAATTTGCGGAAACCGACCCTGCTGTGGTCCACTGAAGCCTTTGCGTGAAGCTTTGCTGTCGACAATCTTCTGCTTTTGTTTCCGCCGGTCCCGCACGCACGTTTCGGGAACTCCGAACGACCGCGATGCGGCCCGATTTCCGTCCGTTTCTGCACACGCGATGACTTTTCTTTTAAAAGCGGCATCGTGGTGCACTAGAGTTTTTGGAGTCGGCCCTTCCACGCCATCGATGCTAATGCACTACAAGATGACGAACTCCTCAGCACATGTATGAAGTACCGCACATGGGAAACACATAGGCAGAAATGGCCGATGCGCCATGCCGACGCACGTACGGGGCGGCCATTTCGGATTTGCCGATGGCAATAGATTGACCGTAATTTTTTTGTTCGTACTCGATTCTAACGCGCATGCGATTTATGAACTCGCTTAACCGGAAAAAAGGTGCACGTTAGATTCGAGTAATTACGGTAATTGATCTGTGGCATGCAGCGAACAAGCAAGCCTCAAATACGGTTTTCTGCACCAAAGATACTCCTCTTAGCAACATCTTAACTGTGAGGGAAGCCCCATTGTGGAAAATTGAAAGGGTGAGAGGACATGGAAAAGAAAAAGTTCGAATAGGTGAAAAACATACGCCTTTAATGAGTGTTGCTGAGGAAATTCTTCAAATAAAAACAAAAGTAACTGCAGCGGCACTTTCCGTTACAGTTACTGTGTAAAGAAGTGACAATGTTACAGTTACAAGTTCCTCTAACTTAAAAGTAATTGGTTACAGTTATAAGTTACTGAAAAATAACTATATTTACCGGTGATGCATTACTAGTAACTAGTAACGCCCAAGACCGAAGCAGACATTTTACTTAGAGGCATATTATCGACAATGGACAGTGCTCGCTGCTATCATTAGTTTTGGTTTACCTGTTTTTCGCTTGGCACAAGTTTGCCTAATAAATCATTTATATTATTTCCTTAGTGAAGCCTGTCTTATCGTATCCTTCACTATATCTCAATGCCACAATATGCTTCTTCAGTACCTGTGGACAGTAGAGCTATGTATAGGCCTGGTGCACTGCTATTTCAAATCAGACATGCAGCGCCACTGCGACGGCTGCTGGTGAAATGTCTGTACTTGGTTTCAGCAAGTTGGCACAGAACAGGCGTGTATACACAGCAAAAAAAAAAAAAAGTTGACTTTTATCTGCTGTTGAGTCATAACAGCTGCAAAAACATGGCCAGGAAACAGTCGAAGGTGCAATTTAATAACACCTAGAAATCGTACAAGGCTGATCGAGGCGGACACGCGGGCAGCATGTTGCCTGCTTTTCGCTGCGTCAGCACATCATGGTGTGACCATTCGCCCATTCTTTCTGGTAAAATAAAGAATTTAATAATAACCGCTAGTGTGACGAAATTTGCGACATGTTTTGGTTGGGAAACATGACCATTGAAGCTTTCGAATTAGTTTTCAAAGTAGGAGTTGCATGCAAGAACTTTGCCAGCAGTGCAAGTGTGAGAACTGCTGGAGCCACCAGCAATTCCGACAAACTCGGCAAGTTCCGCCAAACTGTAATTTATAATGTTTCTTTACAATCCCAAAAAGAACGGCTAAATCATGACACACTGACATAGCGAGAAACATGCGATATGCTGCCCGCGCGTCATTACTGTGATGCAGTGAAGCACATCTTAATTTTTGGAGGCACATGTATCGGTTGACCACACAACCGTTCCCCCCCCCCTTTCTTGTGCTGGAAGTCCCGGGGCTGGGGTGCTTAAGCTGCCACTCATTAGTATTGCTACGTTGCCTTGTGGCTATTAGGGGCCGTCGTTTTCGTGGATTTAGGGCAAAATAAGGATCGAAAATTGGCAGGTGGCACACAAAGTTTTCCAATTACGCAGAATGGTGATGACCGCCGCTTCAAATTATCCGCTCAAACTTGCATTGCAAAATACAGGACCGCAAAAATATTTCAAATTTAGTGGGATTTTGAAATAACAGAGTTCCAAATAATGAGGTTTTACTGTAATAAAAATAACAAAAGCAAGAGTGGTTGCCGAACCGCAGTATATGCACAAAACATTTTTTGCATCAAAAGAACTTGCGTAAGTTTTTGTAGGAGACGCGAATGGACCAATAAGGGACTGCGTTTCCAGGAAGAATCTACACACATCCATTGAGAGTGCAGTGAAGCCAATGTACTGATAAAGAAAAAGAACAACAACAACAAAAGGACAGCTGCAATGGTAATACTCACTGGCTTCCTGAATGGTAAGGCAATCTGCCTCCGCAATACATGGAAGTAGTTGGCGGGTGTTGTGCAGTTGGCAACAATCATGTTGGTTTCGTTGAGCTGACGCATGGCAAAGTCCTCATCAATTGTCTGTCAGTGTGACAATGCAGAGGCACAATTGAGACAATAAATCATCCCAAAGAAATGTAATACTGCACTACATGCGTAAAATGCTGCAGAAATGCACCTCTATCTTAAAGATGATTTAGTGTCCAACTTTCACAGAATCAATCTATAGACAACAGGCACAGCTGCTATTGTGACAGTGATATGCGTAAACACGAGTGTCACATGCCTCTCAAAATCAGCACAGAGCTCTCAAAGTCAGAATGATTGATCAGAGAAATGTACTTCCTTAATTTTTTTTTCCAGAGACAAGTACGTCGGACAAAAAATTACAGGACACAAGATTCATGAAAAAGCTGATTAAGTACCACTTAGAGTTTCAAAAAATATGATCAACTGTGCAACACTGCTGTTCTAACATTACCTGGCATAGGAGACATGGGCTCAGAATCTGGCTGAAGATTATCTAAAAAAAACAGTATCTCTCTATTATGTCACTTTATCCAGTGCACACATTGTCAGCCGTGCAATGCCATCTCCATCCAGTATCGAGCTTGTATAGAGAGACTAATCAGGCTGCTCTTTGATTTTAAACATAGTTGAAAGTTTGTTGGCAGAAAACTGGCTTCACCATTACACTTTTCATGAGATTTCCTACTTGCACCCCTTAGCTTTCCATCATGCTTGCTGCCTCTTTTTGCAGCATGCAGACGCCGCTGCTGTTAGTACACACACATCGCACACCATTCACATTCAGGCTTTTGCTGTTTCACACATATGTTCCTGCAGTAATCTTTCATCATTTGTGCACAACTTAAAATGTACTCAGACACTGACGATTGATGTTTTACGAGAAAACCTTGGTAATCTTTCTTTTCTTATCACTCAAATGTAATCTTTCTTTTCTTATCACTCAATCAGTACATGTTTGTAGTGCAATGTCAGTGCACCAATCTGAATATTGCTTCTTGTAACAGTACACCTGGGTTGAATAACACTAATGATGATGGTGATGAGTAGTTTTTAATGGTGCAAGGGCCAATTGATGGCCAAAGAGCACCATTTCAATAGACCAGAGATATGAACAATGATATGATATACGTGGCTGTAAAGGGGCCTTCAAATTCCTCGCTCTAACGTGGATTAAAACATGGAAGTAATAAAATCATGACAGTGGCGTGAGATATGTGCAGCGAAAGTGGATGGCAAAATGTCATGATAATAAAATCATGATGGAGATGTAGTCCCCGTAGCCACGACCACGGTAGAGAGGTCGTGCTACGGATGACCTCGAAATATGGGGTGAGAGCTATGAACATCTTTTAAAAACGTGAAAAGTGATTTCAGTTTAAAGAGCGGATCCCTACCGATGAGCATCCCAGGGTGTAGTGGGAGCTGCTGTCGGTAGGGCAGTAAAAAGTGCTTTTTTCTTAGAGTACCTAGCTCATTGCACTGGACGAGAATGTGGAGAACTGTAAGTGGTTCTCCACATCTCTCACAACATGGTGGATTGCCGGTATATAAAAAATATGAATGTGTGGAGTGTGCAAGTCCTGTTGAAAGCATTGTTAGAGTTACTTTTATGTGTCATGATTTTGATAGTGGCGGCCAATTACCTAGTTGCGGCTTAATAGCACGGAGTTTATTGTCTGTGTGTCTATCCCACGTGCTCTGCCAATACCCCCTGAGCTTTCGTTTTAGAAACGATTTCAAGTGCAGGGATTAGTATTGATGCATTGGAAGTAGTGTCGTTAGCGGAAACAGTCAGCTTGTTGGCCAAAACGTTCTTTTGTATCTCACGGTGCCCTGGCACCCAGCAGACAACGACATGCTGTTTTGATGTGTACAGTGTACACAAAAGTGAGTAAAGGGACACCAGCACAGAGTTATTGTCTTTTAGGAGTTTTCAGGGCTTTGACCACACTTAGGGAATCTGTGTATATTACCGCCTTTTGTAATTTTATCTGTTTGATGTGTTTTAGGACTGCCAGTATTACGTAAGCTTCTGCTGTGAAAATGCTTGCATTAGGATGAAGAACGCTGGCCTCAAAAAGGATTGGCCTATCGCTGCATATGACACAGAAGTGTTAGACTTTGAGGCATCGGTAAAGAACTCAGGGCATGTGTATTTATGTTGTAGTTCTAGGTGTGTTATGTTGTAGTTCTAGTTCTAGGTTATGGATGTAGGTGCGCAAGTGGTGCGTGCTTTGTGACTTCAACAAAAGAGACATCACAGTCTATAAGCTGCCACTGCCACGGTGGAAGATACGCTGCAAGAGCCATCAAACCGTGTTCGAGAAGATGCACACCTGTTTCTTCGGCCAGGCCCCTTACGAGTAGGGCTGCCGCACCGAAGGACTGTTCTCAAACAAGCAAGAACAAGACCAATCATTATTTGTGAAATAAGAGGGATGTTTCTTGTCTGCCTTCACCTTCAGAAAGTACAAAAAAGACAGGTAACATCTTTGTAGGTTGAGCGACCATTCATTCGAATCCACGTACAGGCTCTCCACAGGGCTAGTTCGAAAAGCACCCGTAGAGAGGCGAATTCCTAGATGGTGGACAGGGTCGAGAATCTTCAAGGCCGATGGTGTTGCTGACTGATAGATTAGAGCACCATAATCTAGCTTGTGTGTACGAGGCTTTTATATAAATTCATCAGACACTTCTTGTCACTGCCCCACGTAGTGCGTGACAACACTTTCAAAATATTCATTGCTTTTAAGCACCTGTCTTTTAAATACTTGATGTGTGGGATGAAGGTTAGTTTTGTGTCTAATGTTAGTCCAAGAAACTTGTGCTCGGTCTTCACTGGCAGAGGTTGACCATGCAGGTCAATGTCGGGGTCAGGATGGAGGCCCCTCTTTCGGCAGAAAAAAACGCAAGTGCTTTTTTGCGCGTTGAGTATAAAACCATTTTCATTTGCCCATTGAGATACCTTGTTCAACCCTAGTTGAACTTGACGTTGGCACATTGAGATGTTGCACGATTTGAAACCAATCTGTACATCATCGACATATATGCAATAAAAATATATCGTGGGAGAGACAGGTGCCAGGAATTTATTTCAACTATGAAAAGTGTGCAGCTCAATACACCTCCTTGTGGCACTCCTGTTTCTTGGACAAATACTCGAGATAAGACAGTGCCAACTCGGACACAGAATGTACGGTTGGAGAGGTAGCTTTCGATAATTGTCAGCATTCCGCCCCGCACACCTGAATGTGACAGGTTTCGCAATATGCCAAAGCCCCATGTAGTGTCATATGCCTTTTCCATATCGAGGAACACAGAAAGAAAAAATTGCTTATGAACAAACAAAAGCGTTGCGAATTTGTGCCTCGATACAGACAAGGTGGTCAGTGGTGGACCGAGCCTCTCGAGACCCACACTGGTATGGGTAAAGTAGGCCACTAATTTCAGGGAAGTGCATCAGGCGCCTGTTAATCACTTTCTCAAAGACCTTGCAAAGACGGCTGATTAACGCTATTGGCCTGTAGCTGGAAACTGAGGCCGGGTCCTTTTCTTGTTTTAGAATTGGGATAACGATAGCTTTCTTCCAGACTGTGGGTAGCTCGCCGGAAGACCATATCGCATTATACAGAAAGAGGAGAGCTTTCTGGGTATCAGTGGGCAGGTGTTTTAACATTTCATAAGCCACACAGTCCGGGCCTGGGGTAGATTTATTGCAGCAGGTAAGTAAGGCTTGTAGTTTAGCCAAACAGAAAGGTTGATTGTATGCCTCATGTGTTGTGGGCTTGCGCTCTAATCTCCGTTTTTCTATTCGGGTTTTATTCGGTCACTCTAGTGTGATGAGCTGGAGACCTGTTCGAAATGCGCTCCGAGAGTGTTAGCCTGGTCTTCCAAACACTCCCCTTGTGTGTTCACTAGAGGAAGTGAATGTGCTTTTCGTCCTGCCACCTTACCAACCATGTTCCAGACTCTCGCCTCATCTATGTATGAATTAATGCCTGATAAAAATTTGTGCCAACGTTCCCTTCTCGCCTGTCAGCGCGTCCTCCTTCTTTGCGACTTGACGTTTTTTAAGTTAACAAGATTCTCGGCAGTTGGCTAGTCTCTAAGCAACTTTCATGCCTTATTTTGTTTTTCACACATCACGGCACTCATTCCACCATGGGACTCATCGTTTGCCTGACGGTCCACATGTTTGAGGAATACGTTTCGTTGCTGCATCAACCAAGAAAGCTGTAAAGTAGCACACAGCATCCTCTATGCTTAACGCCAACATGTCAGTCCAAGTTAATACAGTCATTTTTTGAAACTTTTCCCAATTGGCTTTGTCAGTGAGCCATTTGGGTACCTGTGCAGGACATGTATTTGTTATTGATGTGCTGATAACGATAGGAAAATGGTCACTACCGTATGGATTATTAATTACTTCCCATTTAAGTAGAGGCAGGAGTGATGGTGATGTTATGCTAAGGTCTATTGTTGAGTACGTATTGTTAGCGATGTTGTAATATGTTGGCTCTTTCCGATTCAGGAGGCACGCACCGGAAGAAAAAAGGAACTGTTTAATCAGGCGACCTCGCGCATAGGAGCGACAGTCACCCCAGAGGCTACCATGTGCATTAAAGTCCCCTAGGACAAGGTAGGGTTCTGGAAGTTCGTCTATGAGGGACTAGAACTCATGCTTTTCAAGACGGTGTTGTGGAGGTATGTATAGAGAGCAGATGGTGACGAGCTTATTTAAAAGAACTGCTCGAACAGCCACCGCCTCAAGGAATGTTTGTAGTGGTAGGTGTGTGCATGCAATCCCTTGATTGACTATAATGGCAACACCACCGGATGGCACAATGGCATCATTCCGGTCCTTTCGAAAGATAGGAAGGAAGGAAGGAAAAACTTTATTTGCAAGGGTTTGGGACAGGGGTCATGAGCTTGATGGGTGGGGCCCCAAGTCCAGGGCTCCACTGGCTGCCGCCGTCTGTCTGACGTGCCGCAGAAGTGCAAGCTGCACCTCTGGGTCAGAGCTGGCGAGCTGTGCCTCCCATTGCTCGAAA